CTCATCCCACTCCCTACTTCCATGACAGGTACAATCCTTTTTACTCTTTCTCTAATTTTGAACATTATGATTTACAACGCAGATACTAAGAGGCCATCAAATTTGGTCCTTGGTCTACTTTCAGCAAATATCTCCTACCCCGGGCAATCCTTCCATTCATCACTTACTTAGTGATCCCTTCTCCATCCCAAATGCCTTCTGCCAAAAACTCTTTTCCAGTTTTTAAAACCTTACTGTTGATTTACCATTCATCTTATATTGAGATAGAAAATAAAAAATTATCTTCAAATGGTATCCAACTGACATACGTAAACACTATTCTCTCTTGTTTTTTTAATCTGCATACCCAATACTGTATTATAAACTATATAATTTTATTGTTATAATTTATAATTATAATTTCCTCATGAATTTTTCCCAACAACCTTGAGAAGCAGCAGTGAGAAACAATAGGTCATTCTTCTCTCTTAAAATCTTTCCAAATTATATGGAATAAATTCATCTATAATAGGGAGATATTCACACTATTAGAGGATAGAGTGAATGAAGAACACTGAAGGTGTAACAAGATATTATCTCTAATCGCATGGTTCTGAAACATTTATGTAGCATTGCAGCACTGTAGTACTGTCCTCCCGTTGTTGGTTGATTTTCTGGAGGGGGCCTAGTAACGTCTCCATTGTGAGACTTGTTACTGTGTTTGGCATATCAAATACGTCATGGGTAACTTGCCAGGCTTTGCCATGGGGGCAAGATACTCTCAGTAGCTTGCCAGGCTCTCTGAAAGGGACAGAGGAATCAAACCCGGGTCGGCCGAGTTGGCTGCAAGCAAGGCAAACGCCCTACCCTCTGTGCTATCGCAGAGTGGAAAAATACCTTCGCATTATTACTATGCTATGCTTCTCTCTCTTTTTCTGTTTCATCTTTCTTGTGCAGCATCCCCAAATTGAAGAGTTGATTTTATGTAAGTGACTTGTAAGAATGTGCACATTTTGCAAAATGATTATATCAGTATGGTTCGATAATCATGGGTTTATTATGCAAACATTAAGCAGTATTAGATATTTATATAAATAAGTTGCATGATAAACGACAAAGGGAAAGAATCACTGGAGATATAAAGACATAGTTTAATTCACTTTTCTGATTTCTTTGCAAAAATAAAGAAGGGAAGAAGATCCTCAATTCTTCCTTTCATCAAAATGAATACTCAGATCAAATTTATAGCCTGGTTAGATGATTGGGTAGTAAATATATAAAATAGGAAAAAGGAGAGGAAAGGTCACTGCACTTCATTATGATTTCTCAAGTTCATCTCACCTCTGTAAAGTCAAAATGAAAAATCATCATTCTCTAAAGTGAAAACCTAACCTGACTGAAAAAGGTCATCATACCTCTGTGTAAAGTGAACATGGCAGATTTTAATGGTTTATTTTAGGCACTTTCTTACTGAAAAAGTACCTGGATAACAAATTTTATTCATTTTTCATACATATATGTTTATGCATGTGATAACTAATAGTCAATAAGGAAAAAAGATTCACAGTCTTTCCTTTGAAGCAGCAATACAGACTAAACAGTGAATAGGATAGCAAGTGAGAGCTGTGTTGGCATAGTACATAGTAAAAAATGACAAAATACTTAGGCTTAATTTGAAATTTATTCCTTAAAAAATTCAAATATTATAGATGGTCATTGTCAATTTAGTTTTTTTCATTTCCTAATTGATATATTATTAATTGTTAACATGTTGCTATTCTTTTTTTCATTCATAGAGGTGATCTGCAACACAAATGCAGTTGTAATTTTATAACTTTCAGAAAGATTGCTACTGTTAGCTATTTTCCTGAAAATAGAAAAAGTGAATAAAAGAATGTTGAACAAGCCTGGGGCAATTAATCTTGTCATGAGAAACTAAGTCATGTCTTTGCAAACTATAGCCTTAGATTTGGGGATATCTGAAAAACAGAGAATTCAATCAAGCAAGTAAATAATAAAATTTGGATTTAACACAAAATGATAATGACATATTAATAGAGTAATACAAATCCCATGTTTTTGTGATACCTATATAAATGCTAGTTCATTGCAATTTGATTTATTTTTGGTCTTACTTCTCAGTGAAGGTGCTAGTTTCAAATAATAATTTTTTTTGTAGGGTCAGAGTGATAGTTAACTTGCTTTGCATGTACCAATCAAGTTCTGGTCGTCTGCTCCTCATATGGTTCCCAGGGCCCATCAGAAATGATCCCTGAGCACAGTCAGCGATAAACCTTGAACACAGCCAGGTGAGGACCAAAAATAAACATAAAATAAATAAATAGACTTTATATAGTCAAATACAAAATTTTCTTTAATAGAACACATTTTTCTTCTCTGAAAGTGTGCTTTTCGAGGTATGAAAGGAGTATAACTCTTCCTGTCAATATTCTATATTATCAAAGAAAAAGTGTTTGCATTGGAATTTCTGTATAATTGAACCCAAACTCTTATTTTTTTCAACAATAGTGTATGAAGTAAAATTAGGAAAGTCCTAACAAGTATGTAGTTCAATCTAACATTTCTTTTGAATAATTGATCCCAGTTCTGAAGAAAAAACACAAATGATTTTTTTAACACTACAGTGTTAAAAAAGTACCCACTTTATACCAAAGGATATTTTAATAGAAGCATAATTCATTGTCATAATGCTTATCTAACCAGCTTAGTAAATTGTAGGTCAAATGGTTGCTGTTTCAAATACAAAAATAATTTTGTCATTGATGAAAGAGACCACGTATGAAAATATCATTGAGTATGCCTTCTGATAGTTCTAGCTATTCATGCCCTTATTTTGCCCGCCCCTCCCAAACGAAATAAGGTCACTTTGTGTGACAAATATGTTACTTCAGAAGTGATAAAACATACTACTAAGGCTGGATCATAGAGCTTCAAAGTTGCTTTCACTCTTCTCTGGCAGAGAGAGCCTTTAGCTTTAGTCAAGCCTTCAGTAACCAACTCCAGGTTATAACTTGACTGCACCCTGATGGAAGACGGTGAGCCCTACCCACCTAGATAAGTTTTATCTATAGCTGGAGAGATAGTACAGTGGGCAGAGCATTTGTCTTACACACAGCTTACCTGGTTTTGATCCTCAGCACCCCCTGTGTTTCCCCCAGCTTGCCGGCAGTGATTCCTGAATGCAGAGCCAGGAGTTAAGTCCTAAGCACAGCTGGGTGTAGTCCAAAAACAAGGAATAAGCAAAAACCGAGATAACCTTTTCCCAGATTTCTGGCCCTCAAAACTGAGCTAACAAAGACTGATTTTAAGGTACTACCTTCTGGGTTAATTTGTCTATTACATAGCAATATATAGTTATTGATGCCAAAGTATACAAGAAAATAGCTGAGTAGTTGACCAATCTAAAATATTTTCTGATAGCAACCTAAAACTGAGTACTTAGATGGTTTAAACTTCCGTGCCACAGTTTTGTCATTGATAATTTGAGGATAATAAATTCTACTTATAGAGGTCAAAAGTTAAATGATACAGATTTTTAAAGTAACTAGAAAATGATTAGTTCTAAGTTTTTGTTTTTTTGTTTGAATTGTGCTTAATTTTGCAGGTTTTGACAAAATATTTCCAAACAGATTATTCTTGGAAAACAAAAACAGATTTTTACAGAGTACAGAACTATAGGCAGATGTAAAATTAGGAATATTCAGTTATTGCTTATGTTTTTTCATCTATGTTAATTTGTAGATATTTGAGTTAAGATCTGACATATCTGACGGTCTGCTATGATTAAAAGATACAGTTAAAAGAGTTCAAATTAAACTGTTCTAATTATAGAAAATGCTTATGTAAGTTAACTGCCAAAATTTTTAGAACAAGAGTATTATAGAAATTATTATTGAGGTTTAGTTAGAGAATATCTTCCACAAATCATCTTTGATTACAATTAACCAGCATACTACCTATGTCACATCTACTCTCTCTCATCCATGTGTCAAAGATTAAATTTTCATGTGATTTCACAGTTTTCTACTCAGAAATTTAGATGAATGAGTTATGAACCATGGCACAAGTAATCCACATATGAATATGTTGAAAAATCTGGAATTGTCAATGTTTAGCTTTTTTGACTTGAAAACCTCTAATTTCATGCAGTTCAATCTAACATTTCATTTGAATAATTGTTCCCCAGTTCTGAAGCAAAAACACAAATGATTTAGATAATACTATCCTTTCTGTATTACTTTTCCCAGTTTAACTTCGGTATTCAATTTCTGCTCTGAAGCATGGAAAGAGCAGATTCATGGAAAGGAAGATATCTGAATGAGTTAAAGCAGTTGAAAGTAAAAAAATAAAAAGAAAAGAAAAATCTGTCCTTTTTTGATGACAGCCCTTACAAAAGTTCTCTGGGGTTTCTTAATAGTACAGTGGTACTTAACTGAAGCTAAGGTCACATAAAATCCCCTTGGTTTGTCCTTCAACCTTGTATTTTTATCTCCTCTACAGCCCCTTTAATGACAGATTATCTAAAACACAGTGTCCTAAAAAGAAACATATTAAAATGTCTTCCAGGAAAGTAAAAGATATGAAAAGGTTGGAGCTTATCAAGGAAGCCTGGGAGGGATAGCAGCTCTGATTGCTTCTCAAGTGCACTCAGAGTAGTTGTGCCTGAAATTTTGAAGAGCCGCTTTACTTTCCAAATAAACAGGGTAGCCAGGAGGAGCAGTGATGTGCTGGTTCAGTGAGAGAGAAGTAAATAAGAGACCCCAGTCTTGGGGGCGGGGGTTTGCAGGTAATTCTGACATATAATCCCAAACTGAGAATTCCTTCTGGATGCTCTTAGCTAATAACCCTTCCCATAGGAGCCCTTTCAGTTTGTCTGCTCACAAAGAGGCAGGCTTTTGAGAAGCATTCAAATTGGTTAAGCAAATTGCATAAATAACCATCAGAAACACAAACAGTAGCACATAGTGCTTAAAGCATAGCAATAATCACAAAATCCTTACTTCTTCTCTCCTTTGTACCATTCAAAGACTGGAGGCGGCACACCTGCTCCTTCACATCTTATCAATCCACTGCGTCCAGGGGCCACTGTGCCAGACTTAATTTCCTGAATTGTAGGAGCAACTGAAACAGAAACAAAACAAAAAAGTTGGCGAGGAAAGAAAAATCATCTTCAACAGGACTATGACACACATATATTTTATTCTTCTGATATTCAAAGCAATATTATGTTTGATGGGCCAATGCATCACTTTCCCAGGGTTTCATGTTTCTAATACAGAACTAGTCATTTTGAGCTTCATTTTTCAAGTTGGACAATAGATGAATGTTCCCACGGAGTGCAGAGTAAATTCAATACATTCTGGCTTTGCCTTCAACTGGAAAATGGCATCGGTGAGGGGAACACTTCATCTATACTTCAGTCAAACTTTACTCGAATAATAACTCCCATTTATTGAGTGATCACAGGGAGTCAGTTACTAGGCTGGGTGCTTTATGTTCATGATTTTTTCACAGTAGGACTCTAAGCTGAATGCTGGTACCCCAAACTTGGGAATGGAAAACTGCAGCTCAGAGAAGTTAAAAATTTGTTTAAGTTCAATAGCGACTTAATTACAGAATTTAGAATTGAAGCTAGCGACAGTTGACTTAAACTCTGAACTCTTTAAGTAGTCTATATTTCTCTACGACTATCCTCTATCCTTCCTTCCTTCCTTCCTTCCTTCCTTCCTTCCTTCCTTCCTTCCTTCCTTCCTTCCTTCCTTCCAGCCTTCCTTCCTTCTTTCCTCCCTCCCTTTCCTCCCTCCCTCCCTCCCTCCCTCCCTCCCTCCCTCCCTCCCTCCCTCCCTCCCTCCCTCCCTTCCTTCCTTCCTTCCTTCCTTCCTTCCTTCCTTCCTCCCTCCCTCCCTCCCTCCCTCCCTCCCTCCCTCCCTTCCTTCCTTCCTTCCTTCCTTCCTTCCTTCCTTCCTTCCTTCCTTCCTTCCATGTGGTTCATTCTACCTTGTATGCATTCTCGCTGATTTCCACAGATTAATTTCTGGTGCTTCCATCATCATGGAAATAAGATTCCCCTTCTCTGAGAAGTTTATTGAAATATCTCATAATTTACACTTTCTACCTCATGAGTATTTGTAAGCGTGACAAGCTTTCTTGTTAGTTGGCTGAAAGTAGAATAAATATCCAATTTATTTATTTTTAATCAGAGCTGAAATAACAGTGTCTATAAAGGAAAAAGTTTGTGATAAAAATGCTTCTTTGCAATTGAGAGATAATACAAAGGTTATGTGCCTGCCTTGCAAGTTAGCAACCGCAATTTTATCCCTGAATGGTCCCACAAGAACCATCAGGGGTCATTACCAAGCATAGAGTCAGGAATAGCCCTTGAGCACTCCCAGTCACAGCCCCCAAACCCAACTTCACCTCACGAACAACTTTTAAAAAAAGAAGATTATTTGTAGCAGCTCCACACTTTTATTCAAGTAGTTATTGAATCATCAGTCCTGTCAGATATGTCTCAGCACAGAAAGAAAAATTCCAGACATGATGAAGCATACACTTAAGGTGGGGGTAGGGCTTGAGGGTGGGAGTAAAGTTAATAAATAAAAATTTAAACAAAACGTACAGAGATGATATATAATATGGGGGAGGAAAAATAATGAATTGTGGAATGTAAAGTAAGGGGGAATGTAAAGGAAAGAATGGGTTGCATTTTTGTGTAAAGTCGCTGGGGTAGAAACCATTAAAAAGGTAAGATTTGAGCAAAGACTACATGTAGATGAGACAGTTCACTCAGTGGCAGTTGGGAGACAGAGCTTTCTAAGAAGAGGAAACAGCTTACAGAATAGCCTAAGACTAAGGAATAATTTGGTATTTTGGGGAACTTCAAAAAGATCAGTACAACTGAAGCAAAGAGAAAGGAGAATAACAGGAAACGTAGTGTGATGGCTAACTTTGAGTTAACTTGACCGGTCACAGAAGAACCCGATATTTATTCTATGTTGTTTCAGTATGTTTGTGAAGGCCTTCTGTATGAAATCAGCTTCTGAATTTTGTGGAATCATTAAAGCATATTAAGCTCTCTAATGCTGAGTATGCATCATTTGATCCATTTAGAGTGGGATGGATTAAAATGAAGGAATTCATTCCTTTTCTCCCTGGATGTTTGCATTCTGACTCATAGTCTTCTGATCCTGGACTGAGAATTACACCATTGGTTTGTTCTCACGTCTTCAGGCATGAACAAAATTAAAACTGTAGCTTTTCCAGGCCTCCAGTTTACAGACAGCACATCTGGGTAATTTTTATCCTTTCTAATTATTCTAGCTAATACATTCAGTGCCTTATTCTCTATCTCTGTTTCTATGTTTTTCTCTCTCTCCTTCTGCCTTACTCCCTTCTCTCCTCTTCCTCTCTTACCCCATCCCACCCCTGCCTAGCCCTCTCTCAGTCTTATCCACACAGATATTAAGATAGGTAGGGGTCTATTTCTCTGGATAACATTCACTGAGTGTGTGGACCAAAACTGTATAAAGAAAGAGCAGATAAAATGTTGAGGTCCATTTTATTTTATTTTATTTATTTATTTATTTATTTATTTATTTTTTAATAGTGAGGCACCATGAGGTACAGTTGTAGACTTACACATTTTTGTGCTTGGGTTTCGATTATACAATGATCAAACACCCATCCCTCCACCAGTGCGCATTTCCCACCACCTCGGATCCCAGCATCCCCTCCCCCCCAGCCCCTATCCCACCCTGCCTCTGTGGCAGGGCATTTCCCTCTCTCTCCTTTTGAGTGCCATGGTCAGCAAAAGAGGCATTGAGTGGCAATCATGCTTGGTCGACAGTCTACCCTCAGCATGCTCTCCCATCATGGGTGGATCCTCCCAACAACCTTTATTTGGTGTTCCCTTCTCTTTCTGAGCTCCCCCTTCCCCTAACATGTGTGGTTGTCCTCCGGGTCATTGAGTAAAATTTCTGGTACTAATCTCTGCCATACTTGGGTGTTAGTTTCCTATTTTGTTACTTTATGTTTCCCAGATGAATGCAATCTTTCTATGTCTATCCCTTTCTTTCTGAGTCATTTCGCTTAACATGATACTTTCCATGTAGTACCACTTGTATGTAAACTTCATGACTTCGTCTTTCCTAACAGCTACATAGTACTCCATTGTGTAAATGTGCCAGCGTTTCTTTAACCAGTCATCTGTTCTCGGGAACTCAGGTTTTTTCCAGATTCTGGCTATTGTAAAGAGTGCTGCAATAAACAGACAATTGCAGATGTCACTTCGGCTATACTTTTTTGCCTCTCTGGGATATAATACCCAGGAGTGGTATTGCTGGGTCAAATGGGAGCTCAATTTCTAGTTTTTTGAGAATCATCCATACTGCATTCCAGAAGGGCTGAACCAGTCGGCATTCCCACCAACAGTGAAGGAGTGTCCCTTTCTCACCACATCCTCGCCAGCACCGGTTGCTTTTGTTCTTGTGGATATGGGCCAGTCTCTGTGGTGTGAGGTGATATCTCATTGTGGTTTTGATCTGCATCTCCCTGATGATTAATGATGTGGAACATTTTCTCATGTGTCTTTTAGCCATTCGGATTTCTTCTTTGTCAAAGTTTCTATTCATTTCATCTCCCCATTTTTTGATGGGGTTGAATGTTTTCTTTTTGTGGAGTTGAACCAGTATTTTGTATATCCTTGAAATTAACCCCTTATCAGATGTGTAGTTGGCGAATATCCTTTCCCATTCAGTTGACTGTCTTTGTATTTTGGCCACTGTTTCTTTTGAGGTGCAGAAGCTTCTTAGTTTAAGATAGTCCCATTTATCTATCTCTGTTTTCACTTGCTTGGCCAGCGGTGTGACATCTTTGAAGACACTATTAGCTTCTACGTTATGAAGGGTTTTGCCAACATTTTCCTCAATGTATCTTATAGATTCCGGTCTGATGTTGAGGTCTTTAATCCACTTAGATCTTACTTTTGTACATGGAGTTAGGCAGAGAACTGAGCCCATTTTTTTGCATATAGCCATCCAGTTTTGCCAGCATAATTTGTTAAAGAGGCTTTCCCTGCTCCACTTTTTTCTTGCCCCCTTATCGAAGATTAGATGCTCGTATACTTGGGGGGGGGGGGGACATCAGTATATTCAACCCTGTTCCATTGGTCTACAGCTCTGCCTTTGTTCCAGTACCATGCTGTTTTAATTATTACTGCCTTGTAGTAGAGTTTGAAGTTAGGGAGGTTGATTCCTCCCATTTTCTTTTTCCCTAGAATTGCTTTAGCTATTCGTGGGGGCTTATTGTTCCATATGAATTTCAGGAGTGTTTGTTCCAATTCTTTAAAGAATGTCATGGGTATCCTAATAGGGATTGTGTTGAATTTATACAGTGCTTTGGGAAGTATTGCCATTTTGACAATGTTAATTCTCCCGATCCATGAACAGGGGATATTTTTCCATTTCCTCGTATCCTCTTTTATTTCCTGAAGTAGAGTTTTGTAGTTTTCTTTGTACAGGTCCTTTACTTCCTTAGTTAAGGTGATTCCTAGGTACTTGATTTTCTGGGGCACAATTGTGAATGGGATTGTTTTCTTCATGTCTTTTTCTTCTCTTTCACTATTTTCATATAGGAAAGCCATGGACTTTTGGGCATTGATTTTATAACCTGCCACTTTACTATACAAGCCTATTGTTTCTAGAAGTTTCTTGGTAGAGGTTTTAGGGTTTTCTAAGTATAGTATCATATCATCTGCGAATAGTGAGAGCTTGATTTCTTCCTTTCCTACCTGGATGCCCCTAATATCCTTTTCTTGCCTAATCGCTATTGCAAGTACTTCCAATACTATATTGAACAGCAGTGGAGAGAGTGGGCATCCTTGTCTCGTCCCTGATCTTAGAGGGAAAGCTCTCAGTTTTTCGCCATTGAGGACGATGCTTGCTGTAGGCTTGCGGTAGATGGCTTTAACTATATTGAGAAAAGTCCCCTCTATCCCCATTTGGCTAGGGTTTTCATCATAAAGGGGTGCTGGATCTTGTCAAATGCTTTCTCTGCATCTATTGATATGATCATATGATTTTTATCTTTTCTTTTGTTGATGTGGTGGATTATGTTGATTGATT